CTTTTGGGCAGGAGTTGCCCATTTGGTCTCGTATACTTGACTGAATTAAGAAGCACGTTACTCATGTGTTATTGTTTGTTTTATAGGCCTGTCTAATCACTGAAAAGTGAGCTTTGGAAGTGGCTTCAGTTCTGAGTTAGCAGGGTGGCCAGGGGCCATAGGCTCAGGGGCTCCTCCAGTCTCTGTCAGACCAGTAAGTCTGGTCTACCAGGGCTCCTTCCTGTCTGTATGCTCCTCAGCAAATACAGTCCTCTGTGGACTCCAATTTCCGGATGGTAAAATGAGTGCTTTTATGCTAGACCAGGGCTTCCCACACTGTAATCTGCATGCAGATTTCTTGCAGATCGTGTTAAAACTCAGATTCTGATTCATTAGGTGAGACCTGAAATTCTACATCTCTATTCAGCTCCTAGTCTTGCCTCTGCTATGGTCCAGGGACTACACTTTTTTGAGTAGCAAGGTTCTAGATGACCCCTGGGATCTCTCTTAACTCTAAAATTCTGTTGTCCTGGTAGGTGACCTCCAAGATCTTATGCTGGTCTGCCTCCCCCTGGGCTAGCGCCTCCTCCTTGCCTCCTGTTCCCATCAGCCACTCTGACTTTCATGAACAAGAAGTCTTCATACGTGGCGTTGTGAGGCAGCCAGTTTCTTTGTTCATCCTCCCTTAAAGGCCTGGTCTTCCCACACTGCTGGGCTGTGTGAATCGTCCTCCCACAGGACTCCGGCATTCCAGGGGAAATTCTTCCCCCTCTCTTCCCTTTGGCTGACCTTGTTTCCCAGCTTAGTTTCTATTCCTTAGTGTGTTTCCATGAACACCTGGATGGATAACTGGGGGACAGCCTGCTTCCCACCCAACCCAATGTGCACTGAAGAGTTTCCACTGGACTCATCACATTAACTTCTACATGAGAAGTTGTAAAGTAGTTTATTTGATTAAGCAAGCCGATTACATCCCAACTCAAAATACTCTTTATTATCCATTCCTTTCTCCTATCAGGTTTTGGTCTGGTGTATCTTTGGCAGCATCCCATTCTTTAAATAAAAATAACTCAAGATAATTTTGAAAAAGAAAGACTCTTGGATTTCAGTACAGCTTAATTCTGTTTTTAACATAACTGCGATAATGAGAATTTAATTCAAATTGAGGTTAATAAACGTAATCCTACTGTATAAACCAAGAAACCAAACCCATTGCTATCGAATCAATTCCTACTCATAGTGATCCTATAGGACAGAGTGGAACTGCCCCATAGGGTTTCCAAGCCTGTAACCTTTTTTTTTTTAAAATTGTGCTTTAGGTGAAAGTTTACCGTTTCTCATATAAAAATTTATACACACATTGTTATGTGACCCTAGTTATTATCCCTGTAATGTGACAGCACACTTCTCCTTTCCACCCCGGATTTCCTGTGTCCATTCAACAAACTCCTGTCCCTTTCTGCCTTCTCATCTCGTCTCCAGACAGGAGCTGCCCAATTAGTCTCAAGTAATTACTTAAACTAAGAAGCACACTCTTCACGAGTATCATTTTGTGTCTTACAATCCAGTCTAATCTGTGTCAGAAGAGTTGGCTTCGGAATGGTTTTAGTTCTGGGTTAACAGATAGTCCGGGGGTCATGTCTTCCGGGGTTCCCCAAGGCTGTAATCTTTTATGGAAGCTGACTGCCACATCTTTCTCCCATGGAGCGGCTGGTGGGTTCGAATCACGGACCTTTTGGTTAGCAGCCGAACGCTTAACCACTGCACCACCAGGGCTCCTTATCCTACTGTATGGCAAGGATGAATCCAGGTCTTGTGGGGCTTTACGCTTAGGTAATTTTAGGGTCATTTAAAAAAATCAAAATTATGAATACAAAATGCTTGCAGGTCCTCTGGGAGGGCCTATATATGTAAGAGGGTCTGCACATGCAGGCATCCTGTAATTTTGAACGATGAATTGAAAGAACGAACCTATTCACCTGGTTCTGTAACTTTGTCATACCACAAGAGGGCAGTATGATATCAAATGTGGCGAGCTACTATCTCCAATGGGATTCATGTGCTTGTGAGTTTGGAGACTTTCAGAATGTTTGCACCCTTTCAATTGCATCCCATGCTCTGCAGCTCCTTGAGTCTCTGTGTGATCCTTTTCTGTCGAGACAACCTGAGTTCTCTCCCTCAAAACTTTGAAGTATCACAGCAACCTGCACCACGTTCAAGGTACATTAAGAAACTGTAAGGCGACATGGTTTGCTCCAATTTTCTTATAAACTTTTTTCCCTTCTGTTTTACGGTACTTTCAAATTGCACTTATTATAAAGCAAAAAGAAAGTGCTTCACATAACTTCTCCCACAAGTGATTTTAATGAGCTTTTGGCTTTACTAGTGGGTTCATCCATAGCAGACTTTATTTACGCTCATCTGCTCGCCACACAGTAACCACACACCCTTATCCCTGTATTTGACAGCATTTTCAAAAACTGACAGTTGTTTCATATAGTGATGGAGGACATACCTGTATAGCACAAAGTAAAGGGGTGTACTGGCAAGGGACCCATTCATTTGTTTAACTCAAATGGCCAAATAGAGGCCCTTTCCTCTTTTTTCCCCATGGCCAAAATCAGTAGGGTTTTTGACTCCATGAACAGACACCATTTAGGTATTCCAACTTTGTAACTGGAGTTTCGGTTAAGACCTTCAGGGCTTGTGTGTTGATCTCGGTCTCCAGTGAGCGTGAGAGCCAGCTTAGGTGCATGGGTTCTCTTTTGAGAGTTGTCGTCAGAATGTAAATAGGGTTTTGTTTGTTTAAAAAGCTTGATTGTATTTACCACACTTCACAGCCACCTTGTAAATGTTATCAAATATGGCATTTTACAAGGACATATTAAAGAGTCAATAAAGGAAAAAAGCTTCAAAGTTGAACATTTTTCACTCTGTCAGAAAGTTGAAAAAATATGTCAATAACGCTGCTTCATTTGAAAACTAACATGCTAACAAGTGACTGAGCTCTCTCCTCTTCCTACCTGTGTGGTAAAGATCATGCGAACTGCCCTCAAAATTACACTTGAGAACTGAGAATGTAAAGTTGATGGTTGGCTTATGGCATAACTCACCCTATAGGTTAGATGCAGGCTACTTACTGGTACCTTAGTTAGAAAACAGCAGTTCTTTGATGAATAAAACTGCTGGAGAGGTGCAGACGTTACCATACCTCTGACTTTAAAAATACAATCAGCATTAGAGCCACAGCAGGTTTCCTTATAGCATATCTAATTTTAAAAATTCAATTAACTATGGAAAAGATGCTGCAAAATATTACTACTAAGAAACTGTTTTTAAAAGTTTCTTATATAAGATTAGTCAAGGAAGTAGTTTCCGTTCTATTCATTAAAAAAAAAAAAGAGTTTAAAAATTTGTTTTTAACCACTAAAGATTCCTGTTAGGAAAAGTATAGAGAACAAATATCTTAACAGGATGCAGAAAACAACTCCCCCCCACCCCACTGTGAATGATGCCTCTGTCATTAGCAGGGTAGCTGCCCATTTCTTATCTTGATTGACAGGTTAATAAGGAACCCGGGGCTATCTTTTCAGTATGAACACACAAGCTTACCAATTACTTTTAAATTATTGCTAATCTGTCAGAAAATAACAAGCATAAGGAATAAAAATATCTGAAAAATAGAAATATCTGCTGAAGCAGCTTTTGCTTCCGGTGCTTTAAAAACTTGCCAGAACTGAGTCAATAGAATTTAGGCATTGAGGATTTTTTTTTTTTTAAAGAAAAACTTGTAGTTTATAATAGTTCATTGGTTCAATTAGGAGCGAAAGAGAAGGGAGTTTTGTAATGCAATTGTCCAGCAAAGGAAAACGCTTTAAATTGGGGGATTATGTGAGCAGACCACCTGTAGGGCATATTCATAGTCCTTTTCTATAATGCTTCAACCCATGCCTAGCTGCCTGCAGGCTGGCTAACAATGCCGGGGAAAGCTGTTTAAAAGGCTGAGCGCACTTGGGCTTCTGGTCTTCACTAACTGTTACAAGTCTTCCTCTCTTGCTCCCTCTCCCTCGTTCTCTCTCCTTTTTAAAGTCCCACATCCCTTTAATTGAAGAACTTTAAGGCTCCATGGTGGCCAATTGGTCTGCAACAAGAGGAACCAGGCAGCAGGGAAAGAAACTGCAGACTATACATCACATTTGGAGAGGAGAAAAGATCAAAGTTTTTCGAACTCAAAAGACCAAGTTCCCTACAGATTAACCCTATTCATTTAGCTCCTCTTAAAGGAATGATGGGCTGAGCCACTGGACAGACAGGTAAAAAGTTCAACAATTGCCAAAGCATTCTTCTGCTAATTCAACAGCCTTCTGCTCAAATAAATTAGCTTAGTCTTGACAGAGGAACAATAGGTTTTTCTCTAGGAAAAGCAGCACATTTGATATACACAAGCATGGACCGTTATTAAGATGTTAACCCGTTAGTTTAATCCATTAAAGAGTGCCTGCTCCTTCACCAGATTGTCAAGTGACTTATACTGTAAAGTGTGATCTATGGGTTTAAAACATTAACCTTTACGCTTCGGCAGTGTGTTCAGTTCCTGAAAAACCAGGTGCTTTGGAAATCATGGACGCGAGAAATGAATGTGGGGTTTTGAAGCCTTTAGTGATATTACACATCATAAATAACAAGGCATAAGTGGAATTAGTGCCTTGCCAAAGTTCCATTTACATACACTAAGGTGAGAGTTGTTATCCATGGATCAAAAGAGAGTTACTACTAGAAACACCATCTTTTTTTGGGAGGTGCAAAAACTCAGTTTTGATTTCAGTTCAACAATGATATTTACTTCGCTAACAACTTAAGAATTATCGGTTAACAGGTAATTTTCTCCATGCCTAAGGTCAGTGTACAGAATGACAAGCCAGAAAATGTCCATTTTTCTGAAGCGTTCTTAGCAAGCACTTGAAGCTGACAGCTTAGAACAGGCAGGGGGAGAGGGCAAAGGTTAAATCATTTATCAAAAGTCTTTTTATTGACAAAATAGAATACTTATATTTGTTCTTACAGGGGTAGCCTCTAAACTTTTTACAGAAAATGTACAGACTGTATATCTTTGGATATGTACATATTTTACACTTTTTTTTTTTTTTTTTACAATTTGACAAATAATTATATAAATACATCCTTTAATGTAAGAAACCCGTATTTACTTGGGGTGTATAATTAAGACATTTCTCGTTGGTTTATTTAAGGCATTTGCCTGGTCATTAAGAATACCCAAACCGTGCAATCCCATTAGGTCGTGGTCATCCCGCCTCTAGAATACGTTAAGAGTAAGAATTTATGCAGGCGAGTCGAGGGAGAAAAATATGTCCCTCAGGTCAAACCTGTTGATGTTGCTTCAAGCTCAGCAAAGGGCAACCAGTGAGTGCTCCAAATCTTGGGTTTTGGAAACGCAGCAGAGTCCACTCTCCTGTGCCAACAGAAATTAACGCCTGGCGGTAGGAGCTCCTTGCATATCAATGGAGGAAAGGGGGCTGGGTCTGGGCGGCTTCAATGCCAGGTACTTTGTTCTAAGCAAGTCATTTAAGTCCCAGCTAATGGATACCATTAAGAGTTCATTATCATGTTAATAGCAATCAACACGGTGAAGGGGTGGGAACCTCAGATCATCAAGTGTCCCTTTGCACTAGGTCTCCTCGACCCTCCTTCCCCACCCCCTCCCCTCCGCTCAGACCTGGGACAATGGCATCTGCTTGGGGTAAGACACAGAGCTGGCCGTGCCAGACCTCCATGTCAGGCCGGTGCTGACGTCGCTGTAGAGGGAGCCCCCGCCGCCGCCCGGCACCCCGCCCCCGCCAGGCCCCGCGCCGCCACCCCCTACTCCGCTGGCGCCCCCTAGGGCCGAGGCGCTCGCGCCCCCGCCGGCCGCGGCGCCTTTGCTGGCCCAGCAGCAGCGGGTGCACAGGGCGCGCCACGACTCGAGCGTCTTGCCAGACCAGACCCACACGCCCGAGGTGATGCCCACGACGAGGCACATGAAGTACTTCAGCATGAAGACGGCGTAGTCAGGCCGGCGGGCCTGGTCGGGCTGCAGGTCCCGCAGGCATGGGCAGTTGTGCGTGGCCTCCCAGCGCGGGCGGTTGTGCTGCTCGTAGAAGAGGCAGGCGACCACGACAGCGGCGGGCACGGTGTACAGCACAGTGAAGAGGCCCAGACGGATCATGAGCTTCTCCAGCTTGTGGGTTTTGGTGGGCCCGCCCTGCTGCTTGATGACCGAACGAATGCGGAAGAGCGACACGAAGCCAGCCAGCAGGAACATGGTGCCGATGAAGAGGTAGATGACGAGCGGTGCCAGCACGAAGCCGCGCAGATTGTCGAGGCTCTGGTTGCCCACGTAGCAGATGCCCGCTACCGGGTCGCCGTCCACCGAGCTGAGCGCCAGCACGGCGATGGACTTGACGCTGGGCACGAGCCACGCGGCCAGGTGGAAGTACTGCGAGTAGCCGGCGATGGCCTCGTTGCCCCACTTCATGCCGGCCGCCAAGAACCACGTGAGCGACAGGATCACCCACCAGATGGAGCTGGCCATGCCGAAGAAGTAGACCAGGAGGAAGACAACGGTACACAGAGCCGGGCCCGTGGTCTCGTAGCGCACGTGCTGCTCCACCGCGCCCAGCTCCTCGTACTCGCCG